TGTGTGTGTGTGTGTGTGTGTGTGTGTGTGTGTGTGTGTGTGTGTGTCCAGTGTGCACACACAGAGGTCAAACATGAATCTGTGCACAATTATCTGTGTCTGCACACTGGACACACACACACACACACACACACACACACACACACACACACACACACACACACACACACACACACACACACACACACACACACTAACTAATCTGAAATCTACAAACTCCACTCGTGTTCCACAGATCCCTCTCCTCTCAGTGCACAGACACCTAAATAGTAACAAGGGTGTGAATGTGAGAGACTGGAAATATGAAGGCTTTCTGTCACTTCCTATTCAAATACAAATAACTTTATATTCATTCAACCTTTATTTACACAGATAAATCACATCGAGCCTCGAAGACTCATTTACAAGAGAGACCTGTTTAGACGGACAAAAAGTAGTGAAAGTGAACACATGCAGGAATTGGAGGCAAAAACACTTCCTATCCATTTCTGAGTCTGTCATCTCGGATCATTTCCCTATTTTTTTCCAATTCACAGCCCCCCACCCGGCAGGAGGCCTCTGGCTGCAGGGTGTCATCGCCGCTGTCTCACCTCAGCCAGTGCCCGACAGTTCACCACTGCTTTTATGGACTCACTTTTATTCAGTTGGTCCTCATGTTTCTCTGTGTCCCAAAGATTTCTTGTCACTGTTTTCTGAAACCTGCACTGGGATCCTGGACTCTATTGCTCGGGTCAAGTCCTGGACTCTATTGCTCGGGTCAAGTCCTGGACTCTATTGCTCCGGTGAAGTTCAGACACCCTAAACCCAGAGCTGAGCCTTGGCTGAAAAATCCTCCTGCATGTGAACTCAGGAGGCATTGCAGAAGAGCTGACAGACTGTAGAAGCATGACATGATTCTTTGGTTTTATTAAGGAGAACTCTTGTTCTGTATCAAAGATCTGTTAATGATGAAAATCACAATTTCTGTCTAACATTATCACAAACAGTAGCCACTGCCCCCGGGTGTTATTTAATACAATTAACTCTGTTTTAAATCCACCCACCTCAGTCTTACCTGATGCCTCAGCCTCCACCTGTGAGAACTTTCTCTCCTTTTTTATTGATAAAGTTGCATCGGTCAGACAAGCCACAGGCACACCTGCTACTTCTGTTTCAGAGTGTTCTTTTATCTCTGCTGGTTCCGTTTTATTTGACCAGTTTGAACCAGTGTCTTATTCCCTCTTGGACAAAATAGTTAAATCAGTTAAACCCACTAACTGCCCCACTGATTTCCTCCCTACGAGATTATTGAAAGAGGTTTTTAATATTGTTGGTCCTTGCCTTCTTCCTTTTTTCAATTCATGTCTGACCCTTGTAATTATGTCTTCTGCTTGTAAACATGCAACGGTCCGCCCCCTTCTCAAAAAAACTAATCTTGATTCTTGGGTTTTATCAAATTTTAGACCTATTTCTAATTTACCCTTCTTCTCCAAAGTTTTAGAAAAAATTGTTCTTATGCAAATTCAGCCTTTTCTGGAAAAAAGCACAATCCTGGATAAATGTCAATCTGGTTTTAGATCCCGACGTAGCACAGAATCTGCATTACTGAGAGTTCATAACGACATGGCTCAGTCAGTTGAGTCTGGGTGCCCAGTAGCTCTGGTGCTTCTCGACCTTACGGCGACCTTTGACCCTGTGGATCATTCTGTTCTTCTGTCTCACCTCCATGATTTTGTTGGGATTAATAATGAATCTCTGACTCTGACAACAGTAGACAACAATGATAAAGTAGACAATCATAAAAGGTCTAACAGGACCAGTATTCAATTCAATTCAATTCAAAACTACTTTATTAATCCCAGAGGTAAATTAAATGATGTTGTAACTCATCATCCTGGTTTCATTAAAGAGATGTTAGATGCTGATGCTGTGGACAGAAAGGATCTCTTGTAGCTTCTGTCCTACATACAACAGATCTGAAGAAGCCTCTGACTGAAGACACTCTGATGTTGTATGACAGTCTGATGTTGTATGACACTCTGTTGTTGTATGACAGTCTGATGTTGTATGACACTCTGTTGTTGTATGACAGTCTGATGTTGTATGACAGTCTGATGTTGTATGACAGTCTGATGTTGTATGACAGTCTGTTGTTGTATGACACTCTGTTGTTGTATGACAGTCTGTTGTTGTATGACAGTCTGTTGTTGCATGACAGTCTGATGTTGTATGACACTCTGTTGTTGTATGACACTCTGTTGTTGTATGACAGTCTGATGTTGTATGACACTCTGTTGTTGT